CATGGGGAGATACAGGCTGGGAAAAGGCATGGTTCCCGAGTTAAACATATGAGCCTTATAAAATGTGCAACATGTAACTTTACAACAGAAACAGGTGAGATATGTATAGAAAAAGTTCAAATATGACAGTGCTCAAGCAACCAAAAACAATGGGTGAAATTTTAGGACAAAAAGGACAAAAAACAAACGGAAGAAAAAAAACACACCGTAAAAATGAGGTTCTCTTTGGATATATCATGGACAAACCTCTTGTTGTGATTTTTTTTTTTGAAAGACAGTAAACAGCTGTAACAGCTTTTGAAAGCACAGCTGTTAGTCATGTAAAAGAGAAATATGTATGTGGATATCCAAATGTGACTATGTAGTTACTATCCAGTTTCCCAAAATACTTGGAATATAGCTTTCAGTAGTGCTAGTTACAGCTATGAAGAAAATATTGCTAGTAAAATATTAGAAGAAGGAAAAAGTCTCATGAAAAACTGTTTCACAGCCTTGATCCTCATTAGAAGGAGAAAAGCTTTCAGGTGACAGAAATAATTGTGTTTTTGGGAGAAGTTTTCAAATATATAGGCCAGAAATAGCAGACTTCAGTAATATATTTAAGAGTTTGAAAACATTTTATCTTCATGTGTGTAAGCTGTACTTCAGATAAGATGCATTCTTGGAAAGTGCTATTTCTTCAAAAAAAGCCTTCAGTCTTCACCTCCAGAAAATACCCCACAAGCCTACATGAACAAATGCATTATACGTGCATATATATTATACATATATATGTGGAAACATAGCTTGTAGGACAGCAAGGGTTGTTGGCTGCAATTCTTAGTGTATTTTGGGTGTATGAACATACTATAGGCAGCTTAATCATAGCTTGTTATCTTCTTTTATACATATATATATATATCTCCACTGAGATATGCAGGTAAAGGTATGATTTGTGGTTTTTTTCAACCACTGACCTGATAAGCAAACTTCAAACTCCCCAGTAGGAATATTTTTGTGTATTTTTGTTACTTATGGGACTAAAGTAGCATATGCTTTATCTTTTTTTTTTCTGAAATGTCAAAGCAAAGGAAAAAATGTTATTGTTCCCAAGAATATGAATGGATGATTAAAATACAGTTAGCTGACCAGGCCACTGCTATCTTTGCATAAAGCCCTTAAGTAGCTAGTCTTCGTGTCACTGCACAATCTTTATGGTAGTTGGAGTTTACAGGGAACCTTAGAGAGCTTTGCCTATCTTTTGCTGCTTTGCTCATCAGTGCTTTAATGCCTGTTGATTAAGGGCTCATAAATCTTTGTGATATTAGTGGAGGAGCCTGTCTCCATACCCAGTGTCAACCTCTTCTTCCCTCCCTCTTAATCCACGCAAGGTGGCTGCACATGCATGGCATTGCTGCAGCCGCTACCTATTCCGCACAATGTATGCAATCCTTAAGGAAACCCGGACCCTGGGCCGCTGGCCAGGAGTAGCCTTGACTTTGGAGGTCGCCTCACTTGGCAAGTCAGGGAGTTAATGGATCTGAAAAGATTACCTTGGAACAGAATGGATGTAAACAGTCTCCTCTCGATTTGGATTATATGGGCCTGGAGTCCTTTCATCTTCCCTTGCACATTCCAAATGTTGCCTTGTCCCCTTGCCTCACATATACACAATAGACTAGATAATGCACTGCCCTCAAATTTATGTCTAGCACATGATGTGTTTGTCTTCTGCTTCATTACACCTTCTCTCTCCCTTTTATTTGGGACAGCAGAAGTACCTTAAAAGCCTTTTTTTAATTCAGATTTGAGTTGTTTATCCAATGCTTCTCAAAAACAGTCTGGTTAAAGTCCTTCAGCCCCTCATTTCCTCTGCAGATCTGCTGTAATATATCTCTTTTCAGTCAAGGATGACTCTGTGCTGTAGCAATTTACTCTTTCAGCAGCTTTGAGAAAATTCCAGAAGGCAGATCAGACAATTTTTCGGAAGAAGCTTGTTTAAAAAATGAATCTAAAAAAAGCATTTAATTCACACAATAAGTTATGCTGAAGATCTGTTTTACATTGCTAAATTTTCCCTGTGATACTCTAATGTGCATTCACTGCTAAATATTTAGAATATCTTAGAATTATTAAGGTATTGCCGTTTTTACCTTTCACTGAATATCGTTAGCCCTTCATCATCGTTGAGAATTTTCTTTTTTGAGTCTGAGCTGAAGTTCACTGAAGCTAGACTACTGTTAACTAGGAACAATTCTTTTTTTCACATATCCTTTATTTTTCCCAAATGACCATGTTAGGTTACCAATAAATCTCAGAACTTGTAGACCACAGCTATTATTCTTTTTGTTTTCCAATATTGTTTGATCATGAGTGAAACCTAGACTAGATTTCTTTCTCAACTCAAGGATATTGCGAGCATACTTTCCAGAAGTTGATGCAAGATCAGAATTTCTGCCAATGTACCAGTAAATATGCTCTGAGCTAAAGTGTCGGTACTAACTGAAAGAGTCATTGCAGTTATAATCCCACTCAGTGGTTTGTATTTTTATATCTTTTGTTTCTCTTTAAATAGAGAGTTAGCTGTGGTCTAACAAAATAGTTTTTTGTCATCATATTTCTAGGTGAAAAAAAAGGGTGTTTTTCTTTCAGCCTTTTGACTCTGTACTGTATTATGACTTGATGCTAACCTCTCTCACTTTGCATCCTTCCATGACTTCCTTCCCTTGCCCTGCGTCTGCATTCCCCTTTGGTGAGGAGAGCTGACACGTTTTCTGTTTAGTAGCATAAAACTTGGATCTGTGGAACTTGGCGTACAACTTAACTTACTTCCTTGGCACTGGGAATGGTATGCAAGCTCCTCTAGTGTGTAGACTTAGTTTACCTGAGCTATGAATAAGCTTTACTTCAGTTTTACTTAAGGGATTTGTTCCTCTTTCTAGAATTCTCGAAGAATGAGAGCTCATTTGAGGTCCTTTGAGTGAGAAATGGTTACATAGGAGGGAGCAGTTGCGTGGCTCTTCCTGGTGCTCAAGGAGGAGTATCCTCAGGGGTCCCCTGCGTCTGCTCCTGCCTGTCAGAGCAGCTGCAGGGTGCATCTCATCCTATTATGCTGGCGGAGCTGAAGGTAGTTAGTCATTCAGTGTGGGCTGGCTTACATGCATGCGTATTTAGTTCTGGGCTTACTTCTGGTGCTTGATTTTAAGTTGAGCACCTCAAGTTTGGGTGGGCCAAACCTGAGATACAGCTTTGAGACATTTTATGGGGGTCCTTTTCTTGTTGAAGCTTATTTCTGTGGACTCCAGTCATTATAAAATATTGTGCTGTAAGCTTGACTTAAGGATTTGGGGAATGCTTGCTGCACAAATTAACTCGAAATAAATAGCTGGAGATATGAGCCCAGACGTCTCAATGATGACGCCTGGGAAGGGCTGTGCAACGGTCATGGCTCCAGACAGGACTGTCAGATGTGTATGTGCCTCTGCCGCATGCACCTCCTGCACATCAGGACACGCTCTGTATGTTGGCAGCTCTTTAGGCTGGTGCCTTGGCCAAAGATAAAAGAGAGATTTCCTCTATATAAAGAAAAACACAACATATACGAAAAAGAAAACAGCAAGCATAAGAAATCAATAAAATTTTGGGTGTGAGCCTGTAGAGCAGTAGATTTTATCTTGCTTATTTTGTCTTTTTTATCTTGCATTTCTTGGAAGTTGTGGAGAGGGTTTGCATACTTTATTTTTATATAAAGGATAAATAATTGTGTGTATATGAATGCATAAAGTATATTTAAATTGGCTTAACAAATTATACTTTCACTTCACTTTCTCCTACCATATTAAAAATATTTCTTCCATAATTTCTAAATATCTTGGGAGTTATCAGTTCGCCTTGCAGTTTTCAAGTATCCTATTTCACCAGGATGATTTTGTTTGCAGAGTAGTCCTATTTCATTAATATTTTAAATTGGTTGCATGCTTCATTTATGTAGCTGATTCATTAAATGTTGTTTAATCAAGTTTTTTGTCTGTCTGCATGAGCATTGTGTAAGGTGAGAAGGGAGCCTTCCGACCCCAAACTGTCCATTCCCTGGGCATGGCAGTGTTCATCTAGCTCTGAGCAGTGCCCTGTGTGCTTTGGTATATGACATGGTTTCAGTTGATTGCCCTGAGTAAAGAACTGGTCAAAAAGGGAGTTCTTTAAGAGTTTTACTGCTATCAAATTATGAGCCTTGGTCCTTCTTGCTCTTTCATTACTGGGATCAGCAGTAAGAGCTCTGCGTCTTAGTGCTGTTACGAATTATCAATATATTTGTGATATTTTCTTTTCCAGGTTCTGTTGTATTTGGCTTATATTTTAGAATAGATTCTTAAGCCTCTGCCTTATGTAGCTTGGTAAAAGTAAATATGGAACTAGCAATACCAATTTTACACAGTTCATTTAATTGAAAATTGCACCCACATTGTAAATGAGGTGTAGGTCACTTGTGTGTAAGGCCAACTCAATTTTAACTGCTGCAAATTCTGTGTTAAATCCTAGACAGGACTGCTGTAAGTTAACATTTAATGCATGCTCTCTTCTTTAATGCCTGCTGTAACTGGCTGGTATTTTTACATTAAGGAAAAATACTAGTAATTGAGTTTGCATTATTTAAAAAATAGAAAGAAAAGCTCACTTAAATATAGGAAATAGTTTAGGAAAGGATATAAACTTTTTATGAAATTATGATATCAGGTAGAAAGTGTATACTTTTATAAAGAAAAATACATGAGTTTGAACGTTGTACAAATGCTAGTCTTCCATAGTTGACTTTAAGGTAAAAAGTAAAGCTGAATGTTTTTCTTGCCTTGTACAGATGCATTTCATTCTGTTTTTGAAATGTCTTCTTTGCCATTTTTCAGAAAAAAAAACACTTTAATTATCTGAAAACATAAAGGCCTATGCTTGCTTTTACACTATGATATACCCTGTTGCCTTGTCTTTCAAAACCGTAATGTGGCTTTCTGTCTCTTTTGTGGCAGGATGATAAGGACTTGGTTCATGAGTTTGTGGTGGTGGAAGGTCTGACTTGCTTGATCAAAGTGGGAGCAGAAGCAGACCAGAATTATCAGAACTACATCTTAAGAGGTAAAAATGCTCTAAAAGCTGTTTTTTATTGCTCTGAGTCTCTTTCTCAGGTCTGCTACAACTGCCGCATCAAACATCTGTAACGTGTTTTTCAGATTGCTCCACATTCTTGGATTTTATTTGGGAAATTCAAGGGCGGGGGGTTAATGCTCATCATGGAGCAGGAAGGCTGCATACAGTTTTCATCTAACAAGGAAACAAGCTGGAAACTGGGAGAGCTGCTACAGTATTTTGAAGAACTTAATAGTAAGAGGAGAACAGGCGTACCAAGGGATCTTTACTGCCGCATGGACTCACAGTAAACAGAGACAGTCGCAAGTGCGTAAGTGGTGGATTGCTCATCTGAATTTGGTCAGACTGACACATATAAGTATCTTTAAAAATGTCAGTTTTATATATTTAGCTGCCAAAACTCAATCTATAAATTAAGGAATAGAAATACATAAATAAGCATAATACAAAAATAAGGAGGAGGATTGTTTAGATAACCTGATTCTAAGTTTTTGAGGATTTGAGCAGTAAATGGAACTTAAAGAACCGAAGATTAGATCTGTGTGAATACCAGCTTGTTAAGATGTATAAAAAAAACAAACCACTGACACACAAATTACTTTCTATGCCTCTAGCTGAGCAGCGATAAAAACTAACTTGATAGGTCGCATATACTCACACAATAAAAATGGACAAGCATAAAAAAGTGAAAGAAAAAACATCCTCTCCATGAAGGTGAAAAGAAAGGGTTTCTAGGAGGCAATTACCCATAGATGTTCTTAGAAAATTTGGACTGTAATCAAATTAAAGATGCCGTATTGGGTAGGTTGGCCTTCGGTCCAGTGTTTCACTCCTGTGTCAGCTCAGCATTGATTTCCCTCAGTTGGATGATATCTTCTCCTTTCAGCTGGTTATGCAGCCAAATAACACAGTTTCAAAACAGGGAAACCTAATAGGCATTTACAGTACCTAACTGTCCAGGTGGCCTTCAAATGCTCATGAAGAATAGTCCTGCAATTCATCTTTGTCAGGATCACATCCAGGGTACGGAACCTCAAGAGTTGACAGAATGATCTACTAATATCAGAGAAGTTGGTCACATCAGAGTGATCTTAGCACAGTATTATGTGTACCTTCAGCTTAGTGAGAACTCATTTCACATGCAGGAGTGGATTAGGAAGAATTGAAACTTCCCTTTTCATGTGTGCATTACCAGAGACAGCTTCAGTGCAGCCAAAATCCAGGGAGCATCTCTACGGTCCCTTTCCTGGTGTGAGGCTTCTGTAGCTGTGCTGTGCTGAGCTTAAGAGCTTGAATCTATGTCTACCGAAGTTGATGAGTTTCCACTGAATTCAGTGACTGATATAGCAGAGACTTGGTACTAAAGTCCATGACATTGCACCAAGGAAACTGTGACCTTGGCTGTTGCATTGGTATTAGCAAGTATTTGCTGTTCCTGCTTAAAAAAAAAAAAAAAAAAGAAAAAAAAAAAGGAAAAAAAAAAAATCTTAAGAGCCTTGTTACAAGAAAACTTTTAGGGCTTGATACCAGCTAAAGTCATTTTATTTTGTTTTGTTTTCATTTTGTTTTTCTTCTGTTTTGTTCATGAAGTTTCCCTCTGCATTGACACAATTTTCATATTTTTTCCTGTGACTTGGGTTTAATTTTAGAAATGAAATTTATGTCTTGATTATCTTTCAGGAAATACAAAGCTTGTTTCAGCTCCAAGTTTTTGTCAGATGGTTTTCAGTTCCAGAAACCAATATGAGCTTTCCAAATAGGTCTACATGTGCAGTGAGATAAAGAGAGGATTGGAAAAACAGTGTAGCCAGTCTTATCCAAATATATTGAGGAGACTGCTGAAAAGCAACGTTAAATACATAGTGTAAGAGTATTTTTTTTCTAGTATGTTGTTTTTAGAAGACTGTAGTAAATGGCTGGGTTTTTTTGCCCCTTTTTTTTTGTGTTATTGCAGTGCTGCATTTGGCTAAGCAGAGTGCACTGGGTGCACACTGTAGGTGTGTAAGTATCACCAAAAAGCATCCCAGTTAACACTCAGATGGTATCCTAAGCTCTGAACTCCGTGTTAAGTTACAGAGATAATTTAACATAAGAAGCCCTTGTCTGCAGTTTTTCAGCCTTACAGCTGTGGTGTCCTTGTCTGTAGTCCCTTTTGGCATGGGACATATCCATGGAACAAAAAAGGGATGTGAATTCTCCTTCATTCCATATTTCAACTGATTTCCTCCCGTGCTTTCATTTAATTCTGTGTCATGACCCCAACAGAGCTTGTAGCACTTGCAGTAAACAGCAAACTTAGTCATGACATTGCCTGCTCTCCCTGGGCTCACCAGCACAGTGCTTCCCTTGTTCTTGTCTTCATAAGTTCAGGATATTTTCTGTGAATTGTTTTGTCAAAAAAATCTTTGTACCCAGAAGTGCAAATAGGGAGGAATTATTTATACACATAAATGATACAGGTAGTTCAAGGCCATTATGCATTCTCAGATGGTCAAGTTATTTCTTGAAAGCACTACTTTCCTTTTTTTGTGAAGGTCTGTGGTGTTTCGTTCAAATGCTTCCTGATTGCAAATTGCGCTTAAGGGTTTTGAATTGCTTCAAGGCAGAAGAAGCTGTCAAAAAGAAAAAAGACTAAACATGACTCACAAAGTTTTAGTAATTTTAACGAGTAAGTGAATAGAAGATAACAGTGTACCTTTTAGGTGCAATCCAGAGCAACCAAGACCATTTATTGTAAGTGCTAAAGAGTGACTATTTATTTCTGCTAGGTCTCATGGAGCAAGATTGCTTGATAGAACCTTTCTCAAAACATTCTCTTTTGTCAGTGTGTAATCTACAGAGCCTGAAAGAACAGTAGTCAGAGCCTTTCCTCTCAAGTTATTCTGTTGAAATATTACTTAAAACACAACTTTTGTCCCTCCTTACGTTTTAGTTATTTGGCTTAAATTTACTCTCTGACATCCCTTAAAATTTTTATGGAATTGTGAAAAAATGGTAAGCTTTTTGCCTGTGGGTGGATAGATTTCACAGAAGCAGGGATACCTTTCTCCTTCATTTCTCCCTCCCCCACTTCGAGAATTTTTATAAGGACTGTATAGGGTGATAGTAACTATAGTTAAATGTTTCTGTACCAGTGAAGAGATTGAAGTATGGTCGGTGTTGCCTGAGCATTCAGAAACAGGAGGAAGAAAGAGAGAGGAGAATGTCCACAATTGATGAGGATTAATATAGATGATATTTTGAAGGTACTTTGGATATCATTTTGAACACAGCTTTCTTCTGGTCCTGCTACGCAAAGGAAGAGCAACATCTGAAATGTAATGTCTGAGCATAAACTAAAGAATTGATAAAATTATGGCAATCTTCACTGTTTTTGTGTCACAACATTTTAGCCAGTGTTGTTGGGAAGGCAAAAAAGGAAGCCAGTTTGTGCAGGCCAAGAGTGAAGTCTTGCAAAAATGCCCTGGAAAAGGAGGAGTTGGCTGCTCAGGGATGAGGCTGCTGGCGCTGTGCTGTGAGTAGGTCTTGGGGTTCAGGCCCTTAGTTCAGAGAGAAGGCTGACAAAGGGTAATCTGACCTCTTTGCTGAGCTTACTGGGCTACTTGAATCCCTAATGGCTGGTTTGTGGATTCGCAATAGTGTTAGGGGTTGTCCAAAATTAGATGAAAGCTAGAAAAGTAATTCCTGTAGTCCTAAAACCCAAGTTAGGTATTCCAACAGGGGCAGAGGCCTTGACCATGCTACAACAAAAGATGTCAAGGAACTAAGGCCAAGGAAGAAAAGAGACCAGCAGGCAGTATATATCCTAGAGCATCTTTGAGGGAATTCTGTCTTCAGATACAGCGTTCAGAGTTAGAGTTACTCCTGCAGCAGAGTAATTCTAAATCCATGCCTGGGATGTTTTTAACTATTCAGTACAAATGTAGCTAGCAAAGTCAAAAGGACAAGGTGAAGAGAAATTGCTCTGTGGTAAAAGATATGTGCTGTAAAGCAGAATTTATTTTGCTATTCAAGTTTGAAGTTAGTGATCTGTTTGCGGTGTTTTGATATACAGAATGCTCTAGAGTTGGTCAGACTTGTTCACAGATATCCAGATGGCAATCAGGTAGCTGAAGTGATAGACAAAAGGAGCTCAGTCGCAGGCATGTCACTAAAGCCACCGACAATTAGGCCTATTTATAAAGCCAGTGTTATGCGATTTCACCTGCGTGCCAACTGCAGAGTGAGCAGCTGTGCTGGATGTTCTAGGAAAGCTGATTAAATTCCTGAAACAACTCAGTCCTGTGACGTGTAAATACCGTCTGGTTCCTGTCTGTCTCTGTGACACAAAGATGTCCAGAAGCTGGAGGAAGCGGAAAGCGCGGTTGAAGTTGTGCAAGCAGATGGTAGAAACTGCTGATTATAACTTCATGGTTGGTTTTTAGAACAAGAGGGTTATCAGGAAACTGGTGATATTTCTGCATCAAGCCAACTACTACTTGAAATGCTTGGGGTTTATAGCTCTGCTCTTTCTAACATAGGGTTTGATGCATTTCCAAGAATCAGCTGACTGTTTTTACTTAAGAGATCCCTCATTATCGCAGGCACCAGGATACTTCCAGTGCTCTTGAATTTTCCTCCCTTATCCTGATAGATTATGTGGTCTTGGTCTTTTGCATTGCAGGTTAAGTATTATATAGAGTTTAGGATATGTAATAGGCATGGTTTGTATAAATATCAAAAGAAGAGAGATAAAATCAGTAAGAATGCATATCTATCCTGAAAGTCACGTCTTGCTAAACTGGTTTTGCAGCAGAGAAACAGATGTCAGAAATGTAAGTGTATTAGTGAAAATTGACATAATGCTATCTCAGGCATACCTTTGCATTATTCCTGATTCAGGAGGACAGCATTAAGTGTTCTGGCTGCAGAAAGGTATGCTAGCAACTTCAGACTCTACACAAGAGCCACAAGTAAATAGGAACAGACAGTATGTGATTAGGCTTGTC